CAAGTGCCCACAGCCAGCCTCTTCAATGTATCCACCCATAGATTTTGCGATTTGTATATATATACTTATCCAATCTATACTGTACTTGAATATTGAGAGCTAGGATTGAGCCTCTGGATCGCTAGCTAAAGCTATCGCTTCGCACTATGCAATATACTAAGTGGCATTAGGACTTAGGAAAGATATCGCTACGAGTTGGACCTACCAGCCTAATATATACGCCATAACAATTCTAGTTGTGAGTTAGCTATTAAACCAGGAGTAAATATACCAGATAAAACTGTGAATAGTTGTGATAGCAGGTGGAGCTAATGTCCATTACGGGATAGCCGATGCTATTGGGATTGCCTTAGAGAAAGATATAACCCTGAAAAACCATGAGGTTCGCATTAATGATGAGACTATACTATCTACCGATCGATCTTCTGGGAATATTCTGACCAATCGTGTTGCATCAGATAGTTCTAGTTATAGCAAGTTTATGGCTACCCCTTAATCATGAATCAGCCTGAAACCAGGCAACATGCAGGTAACTAAGTTATCCCATATGGCAGGATACACAGCATTCCAACTGTGAGGCGGGTAACCAAATATATCAGCCTAGAATGTCAGAGGCAGCTAGCTAGACCAGGTTGCATAGCACAGTGGTAGGATATCTCAGGCTAGCTGTGACCAGTAGTAACTTACACTATAGTATATGACTAAATAGCTGAGGTAGCATGGACCAGTAGTAGTATATAAGGATTGTACATACGAATAGAAGGGAGGCTTCGCCACCCTGCAGTTTGACCATATAGCGCAGAAGCTAAGGTTGAATTAAGAGGTATTAAGTCAAGTCTCAGACAAATAGCATATCACTAAGTCCATGAAAGAATATAAAGCATATATTTGATTGTAAAAACATTGCGAGTCACAGAGACCGCTGTATATTCAGAATGAAGCTTAAAGTGAAGGCATTGCAGCCAATATAAGCCAGTGAGCTAAAGATAGAGGCCAGTGCACCCAAATATCAGTCAGTGAACTGGAAGATCAAGGCAAAGAGCCATCTAACTTCGAGTTTTGAAGTCTATTCAGTGTTCTAAGAGACAAAGTTCGCTTAATTATACCACTAGACAACACACACATTGTATATCTGCTTCGTTGAAGTCAGATTGCCTTGAATATCCTCATTGTTTTCATCTATTGAGTTGAATATTCATGGACAAGCTTAGACTATTCAGTTTGCAGAGGTCTTCTATCGATCTCAAAACACCTGAACTCATATATTTGGTGATTGTGAGCACAAGGATTGCTTGGGGTTTAGTATATATGAGTTGCACTCTGTATATATTTAGATTCTAGCTATCTCTGTATGGTTACTGAGCACATCAGCACCAGCCCTGTCATGGTTAGGTTCATCATTTGATGTTCCATGACTTCTTGTAGGGCTGGGTCCCCATATTCGACTTGGAGGGTGGCTTTAAAGTCATCCCATGAGGGGTATCTGTAGTAGTCATTGACTTTGCTCCAGAACTGGAGCTTGTAGTGGGACCACCATTCTCAGGGCTTTTTGCCAAACAACAAAGTGGTGAAGAGGATCTTGTTTGCATGTGTAGGGTAGTAGGACTTGAAAATAGAGAAATATTCTTCACAGGCCCCGGTGAACCAATGGATATCATCATGGTTTCCATTGAAATCAGCAGGGATTCAGATTAAGGTCAGTTTGACCTGTAGCCAGGGCATGCTTTCTTTGGCATCCCCGCTGGGCCAGTATGGGGGGTCTGGCAGGTTGTTCTTTGGGGGCAGGTGGGGAACTGACCATCGGTCTGTTCAATGGGTTGGGCTGCTGTATCGTCTCGGAGGTGGTTGAATGGGTCGTCCCCTGGGTGGGTCAGGCTCTCGGAACTCGGCGAGGAGTGGGAGGTTATTGTCAGTGGCATATTTTCTTGTGAACATGAGTTTTGCTCGCAGTTCATCCTGGGCTTGCTGCCATTCTAATGCCATGGCTTGTCGGCACTGTTTGGCGGCTTCTGCATCTAGTCGCCTTTGCTCTGCCTCCTGCTGGGCTTGGATGCTGGACTCTGCTTCTTCTGCTCCAGCGAGGAGCCTACTCTTCCCTTTCCATGGGTTGCCGTTGAAGAGGCTGGCTGTGGGCACTTGTGGAATAGTGCGTGGAACAGCGTGATATACACACTAAACCTCACACACACTCACACAACTACTCAATCTAACAATCACCCTCGAAAGTGCAATGGGGGGAATGAGATTATATCAACTCTGTGACTACTAGTGCTTCAAATCTAGTAAAGCTCCTTATTATCTCAACGCTATACAGCATTTACTCTTTTCCAATTGATCCTAAACCTAGGAACTTTTACAAGAAGGTGTTACTTCGAGGTGCAACCTTCTAGGCAAATGATAATATTCAAAATACACAGGACACTGGTCCTACAACAGAACGGAACACGATACAAGTCAAAATGACACTGAGCTCGCTCTTCTAACCACTCAGCTAAGTACTGACTTAGTGAGCTCACTACACGTCAGCATGTAGGGTTATCCAAAACTGACTCAAATGACGATATCAACCACAGACACTTTAACAGATCTCGGATTTGGAACAGAAACAGATTCAGAACAGAACAGAAGCAGATTTCAGAAACAGACCGACAGAAACAGATTTCAGAACTTCCACTTCAATTCATACTCTCAACAGACTCAACAATGCTCAGATGGAACAGAACAGCAACACTGATTCTTATTCACTCAGAACTTAAGCACACAAGTCAGATTCTGAATATATCTCAATTCTTCTGGGTGAGCTCGCAGGTTTATATACGACACTCGAAGCTACAAACTAATCCTTTGCCACAGCGCTTGCTTTCCACGTGCACACCATAACTCAGGGGTTCGAAACTTGTATACTACCCTAATATACTGACTATTTATACTAGAACAAGTTACTGATTACAAATGTCACACTAGTACCCAGGTAAAATAGACTCCTATGCACACAGCCCGCTGCTGCTGCAGTTCTTACTTGGCTACCGACTCGGAGTTTCTTCATATAGTATTGTTTCTATATTGAGCTTGCTTAACTGGTAGCGCACGCTCGCTATCTATGAGTCCGAGGACATATCGGGGTGACGGTTGTCAGCTATCCCAGATCTAGCCTCATCATTGGGTTATTGTTTCTCTCTAGAAGGGATTCTTGCATGCACTGAGCTCTCAGGTTGACAAGGCAATGTATACAAGTTACTCAGCACTCCAGTATTTGGCCGACACTGCTAATCAATCCATGTGTCCAATTTTATCATTTATCTTATTTCACGTGCAAGGTTCAGACTGGCTTCTCAGGTACAGTACATCATTTTAATTTAATGAGCACACCATTTTCATTAAGTGCAATCATATAGTTCTTCAAATTAAAAAGCAGAGCTCGCTAGGTAGACTAGACTGTAGGCACTAGGACAGGGGTTTTTGGTCTTTCTGCCAAGCGTGCCCATCAGGTACATGCTATGACTAAGTCCCTGGTTTATTCTGTCATGTCAAATGTCACTTCACTGTCTATTTGTCTCGTTGCATTGTATTTTATTATGTACCCTCTGACATATTAGCTCCGCTCGCTGTCTATATAAGTCCTATGGTCTAATCACTCAGATTGCAAAAATACACGATTGGATTGTCTGCAGTTGCAACACTGTGGTTGCACCATCCCTGGGGAGGGGAGTCAGGTAGTGGCTTGGGCCAATTGTACCTGGGCGAGTTCGAATTGGTCTTGCTTGTCCTGTTGCCAGTCTCAGAGTATATCTTCCAGAACTTGGGAGAGCTCTTGGCGCTCCTCCTCGGTTCTGGGTCATAGTCCTGAGATGAAGACTCCTGGTTGAGGACCGTAGTATCGGGCACGCTGCTGATCAGCAGCCCCCTTGTAGCCAGAATGGTTTCATCTGTGTTTCTCCACTGTTTCATCAGTTCCTCCTCGTTCCAGGTAGTCCCATTGTCAATGGTTCCATGCTGCTGCACAGTAGGGCCCCATTGCGATTCACTGGTTCTGGAATAGTTCAGGCCATGCCCTATCATCACCCCCAATGTAGAATGGAGACTCTTCTCATTCTCATTCTGCCAGTCATACCTTGACCCAAAGGGGTTGTGGTGGCTGGTCCGGATCCTCCTCGATTCTCCTTCTCTTGTAGTGATCCATCAATTCTCCTGGCTGTCGTCACTGTAAATAGCTGGGTTGCCTGTGCTCATGGATCTGAAGTCATCCTTGTCGGATGTTTGCTGTGAGAACATGTGCCAGGACTCAGGGCACAGGTGGAGCAGGGATCTGGTTATCTGACTCACTGGTCAGGTGGATGGTGATGGTGCGAGGGCTCTCCAGACCTCCTCTTCTTCCTCGAGGTCCCACTGCCTCTGTAGTTCTTCTTCCTCAGTCAGTCCGGGGTCTATCAGGTTCGGGGAGTCTGCTGGTGCTGGGTGAGGGGGAGGGGGAGGAGGAGGCCCTTGAAGCTGGTGGCAAAGGTGTAAGGGGTCCATACATTTGGCTAGGGGTATGGCTCCATGGAGCATTGGATTCTTGTGTTCAGGCTGGTCGACTCAGAGGATGCTGGGCTGGGGGTGGCTTCACTTCTTCAGTCAGTAGGGTTCGCAACCCATAGTGCCTGCTGGGGAAGGGTGCTGCTATCGGGGTGGGGCTCAGGGGATGGGGTTGAATTTCTTTGGCCACCATTCATGCCCAATAGTTGTCGCTCATACTCATCCATTCCAATCCCTGTATAGGTTCAGACAAGTTCAGTGATGTCTCCCTCAAAAGAGAAAGCAGGAGATGGCTCTGTAAATGGTATGTCAGGGGAGCAGCCTTGTAAGCTAGAATTCTGTATGAAATGTGTCAGTTAACAGATTTAATTCATGCATCAGGAGTGTCAGTGGACTGACCAGCCTATATAGGGTTTTTTGCAGTACTGCATGGTCTATTAGTCAGCATAGGATGCCGGACCAGATTATATCATCACCAGAAAATCCGGCGGGTCCGGGAATTGAACCCAGGACCTTAAAAAGACTTCCAATAATGTCACCTGACAAGGACAAGCCACACATGCTAACCACTATACCATACTAGCCTTATATATCTGTGTAATTATTTCCCTATATGCCCTCACTTTCTTATATTTATAATATCCCTCCCTTTGGTGCGCTTTGATGCGCGTTTTCTTCCTTATTGGCCTAGTCAAATCAGCCCATCAATTGCACCCAGAACTGGCTGTGCCATGGCATTGATGGCATCAATATCAGGCCATTTTCGGAAATATTTGGCATTTTGGCTCATTTGGGGCTTCCTCAGGCTACTGGGTGGGCCAGGGGATGGTACTAGTATATGAATAAACATAAATAGCATAAAATCGAACCCTCTGGGGAGGTATGGGGGCCCTGGGGAGGGGGTAAAAGGGGTAAAATAGCAGAAAATCGCAGAAAAATCGCGATTTTGGGGTGCTACGTACATCGGATCGCTTCAAAACTTTCCCAATAAATTCTATGACTTTGAGAATCCCTAATTGGCACCTGTACAGCACATGTGGCGCATTTTATGGCTAGGCATAATCGGTAAAATTGGCTTTGTATGGTGCTGCATACATCAGATCACTTTGCAAATGTTACAAATCGATTTCTACACCATGAAAACCTTAGAATACCCCTTCATATGTTATATATGACCATTGAAATGCGATGAAAAAACAAAGATTTGCGAAAATTTGCATTTGGGGGGTGCTGCATGCATTGGATTGCTTTGAAACCTTCCCCAATGTGTTCTGAAGCATCATAAATCTCTAAACAATGCTTGGATTTATTTGTGGGGCTCTAGGTTTGATATAAAATAGTGAAAAATAGCAAAAATTAGAGTAAATCGTGTTTTGTGGATGCTGCGTGCATTCCATTGCTCTGAAACATTTACCAATGGATTCCGCGACCTTCAAAACCCCTAAATGGCCCCTGGTTATATTTGTGGGCACTCAGTATCGATCATCAAATTGATATTACATTTTAGGAGGAGCACATATCAAAAGTCGCATTTCCAGGCATCGGAAAACTTCGGAGTTAAGTCCAGTAGATTTTTAGACCTTGAAAACACCCAGAAAGGCACAGGATTGCAATCCAGAGCTGCAGAATCCATGATGAAAAGGGTGAAACTGAAAACTTGCGAAATTTCATAAAGCTCACATTTCTGAGTGTTGGGTAAGATAATACTAGTACTAGATATACAATATATACCGTATAATAGTGTGTACAAAATCCCAGGGGGATGCGAAATGTACTGACAGAGATATAAGCAGATCTTTCCAAAAATGAGGAGGAGCAAACTCTAGATCTCGATGTTCTGGTCATCCTATGGACCGGGGACTATCAGATTCCGATTCCTTGACCCGAAAAACAGTAGGGCCACCCATTATCCATGGGTTTTATGTGTCTAAACTCCAAGGTAAAGAGTGTGCTTTACTTATGTTCTAAGATATACTGCTGTATATGGATTGCCTACTAGTAAAAATGAGCCGCAGGGATGATAGGTCCCTCTTATGTTTTTCGGGTCAAGGAATCGGAATCTGATAGTCCCCGGTCCATAGGATGACCAGAACATCGAGATCTAGAGTTTGCTCCTCCTCATTTTTGGAAAGATCTGCTTATATCTCTGTCAGTACATTTCGCATCCCCCTGGGATTTTGTACACACTATTATACGGTATATATTGTATATCTAGTACTAGTATTATCTTACCCAACACTCAGAAATGTGAGCTTTATGAAATTTCGCAAGTTTTCAGTTTCACCCTTTTCATCATGGATTCTGCAGCTCTGGATTGCAATCCTGTGCCTTTCTGGGTGTTTTCAAGGTCTAAAAATCTACTGGACTTAACTCCGAAGTTTTCCGATGCCTGGAAATGCGACTTTTGATATGTGCTCCTCCTAAAATGTAATATCAATTTGATGATCGATACTGAGTGCCCACAAATATAACCAGGGGCCATTTAGGGGTTTTGAAGGTCGCGGAATCCATTGGTAAATGTTTCAGAGCAATGGAATGCACGCAGCATCCACAAAACATGATTTACTCTAATTTTTGCTAACCACTTTCGTGCCAGCCACCCCTCCTGGACTCGCCTCAGAAGAAATCCCTGGATCCTTCACCTCCCAGTCGGGTAAGAGCTCTGGGCTGTGGGTGGCATTGACCCCCAAGAGTAGCAAGGGGCACAGTGCATCGAACCAGACGTGTGTGGCCCCCCCAGTCATTGACCCCTTGGGACAAGTCACGAGAGACCCAACCCCAGTACCTCCGAGCCCCGCTGAGGCAAGTGGTGATGATCGCCCCCCAGCCAAGGCATACACCTCACCTGGAGAAGTGACATCCCATCAACTCTCGGGATCAGCGGAATGGGGACCCAAAAGCATCAGAAGATCAATGCCCCCCAGTATGCCCATAATGGAATCAAGAGGTATCAGATGCGCAGTACCACCATGAGTAACGCTAGAAGAGGTGCCTGATAAAGACGATGATATATCATATCAATGTTATCTGAAGGCTCAAGCGAAGCAAGACGAAGAAGCATGAGAGGAGAGGTCGTCCAAGTCATCCCCAGTAAGTGTTTCCTGCCCCCTGAACTTCACCTGGTTCCTACCATTTGGTGCAGACTGGATGCTTCGGGTGGTCAGGGAGGCATGAACTGCTCTTTGTATCTGGACGCATAAAGATAAAACAGGAGAAATAGAGCTGGACCTTCTCCCTCAACTAAGGAAGGAGGGGCCGACTGTCATTGAAACCCTGCATGAGTTAAGGGCCCCCATCAGATATCAGCGATGAGTAAGGACTCGAGGGGCTCGAGAACTATTCCTCGACACCCAGATAGAAACCCTTACCAACCGCCAGGTTTTGAAAGTCCAGACCCTTGTTGACAGTGGATGCACAGGTAGCACTATCAACGAATCCTACATCCATGCACACAACCTGGAAACCTGCCAAGCAGCAAGCCCTATATCCATCTACAATGCAGACAGCATCCATAATAGAGCAGGAAGTATCACCGAGTTCATTGAGCTCAGGTTAAACATCAGGAGGCACAGCGAGCAGATAGACCTTGCAGTAACCAATTTGGGCAAGGCGGATATATTCCTCGGACACAACTGGTTAGTGCGACACAATCCTGTCATCAACTGGATGACTGGCAAGGTTATCTTTGCCTGATGTCAATGTCAAAAGAACCCATACCTCCTCCCTGACTCGGACCCGGAAGACCGATGGGATGAAGAACTAGAAGAAGGAGAAACGATCCTGATGGTCAATCTCAAGGCAGAACTGGAGATCCATGCAGTCCACCATGCCAACAACCTAGCGGTGAAGGCCAACGAGGGCAAAATCAAGAAATCCCTCAACAAAATGATCCCACCTCAGTACCATGAGTTCTGAGATCTATTCTCTAAGGGGAACTTTGACAAACTCCCCAAATGGAAACCCTGGGATCATGTGATCAAGCTGATACCTAATGCTCAGTCCACCTTAGACTGCAAGGTATACCCCCTCAACCATAATGAGCAGGAGGAGCTGGACAGATTTTTAGATGAAAATCTAGAAACTGAAAGGATCCAACCCTCTAAATCCCCTTTCACCTCACCATTTTTCTTTGTCAAAAAGAAGGATGGTTCCCTCCGACCGATACAGGACTACCGCAAGCTCAACAAGATGACAATAAAGAACCGATATCCACTCCCCCTCATTTCGGAGCTCATGGACAAACTCTGAGGTGCCAGATACTTCACCAAACTCGATGTCTGATGGGGGTACAACAATGTCCATATAAAGCAAGGAGACGAACATAAGGCTGCCTTCAGAACCAACTGAGGGTTGTTTGAACCCACAGTGATGTTCTTTGGGCTCACAAACTCCCTGGCGACCTTTCAATGGATGATGAACGATATCTTCCATGACCTCATCCATGAGGGAAAGGTAACTATGTATTTGGACGACATCCTGATCTTTTCGAAAGATCTCAAGGAACATCATTGTGTTGTCAAGCACGTACTTCAATGCCTCAGGGAACATAAGCTGTTCCTTAAAGCGGAGAAGTGCGAGTTTGAGGTGTTGGAAACCGAATACCTAGGAGTCATCATCAGCGAGGGGTCAGTGAGGATGGATTCCATTAAAGTCAAGGGGATCACAGAGTGGCCCACCCCCACCAAAAAGAAGGAGTTACAGTCCTTCCTTGGCTTTACGAATTTTTATCGAAAATTCATCAAAAACTACTCTAAAATTGTATGGCCGATGACCCAACTGACCGGCAACACCCCTTGGATCTGGGGGGCTGCCCAGAACAAATCCTTTCAACACCTCAAAAGGCAGATGGCTGAAGATGTAGTCCTCACCCTCCCAAAAGAGGATGGTAAATTCCGAGTAGAGGTGGACTCAAGCGAAGGGGCAGTGGGAGCAGTCCTAAGTCAGGAGCAGGACAGGAGGTGGAGACCGGTCGTCTTTCTCTCAAAAGCGCTAACCACCACCGAGCGCAATTACGAGATTTATGACAAGGAACTTCTCACCATTATGCTTGCCTTAGAAGAGTGGCAGCATTACCTCATGGGAGCTGTTGAAGACTTTGAAATCTGGACCAACCATCAGAACCTCCAATATTTCTGCCAATCCCAAAAATTAAATCGATGACAAGCACAATGGGTGACCAAACTTGCCGAATACCACTTCACCTTACATCACAAGCCAGGCACAGCTAACTGCAAGGCCGACCTGCTCAGCAGAAGAGACGATCATGATCAAGGGAAGAGGGACAACGACAGCATTGTAGTCCTTCAACCAGAACATTTCTGAGCGATGCTTATGCCCTCTATTGATGAAACCCATACACGAGTAAAAGAGGCAACCAGAGACCACAGCAAATGGGATCAAGGGATTGCCAACTCCCTGAATCATGAGAGAGGCATCTCAGAAAAGGAGAGGTTGTTGTATTATGACAACTGAATCTACATTCCATGAGACGACAAAGTATGCGGTGAGATTATCGCTACACACCATGACCACATCACCATGGGACATCCTGGGATTGAAAAGACCAAGGAACTCATCCAGCAGGA